CAAAATAACCAAAATAGAGAATTTTATCAATGGTACATAAAAAACAACCCCCAAGACAAGAACAAAGTACCTACTCTCCCTATTACTACCCGAATTTCTCTAGGTACAATTATCCTTCAAAGATTGGAGATGAGGAAGTATATACCGAACCAAAATTTTCATTTCCTCATTGGGATGATGAAATTTCAGGATATACACCACCAACCCGTTATCTTCGTAGACGAGCCTCCTTTCCTTCGGGTTACGGAAACTCCGAAGAATTTATTAATAATAAAGATTTAAATGAATTACTTAATACAACATCATTAACTAATAATCAAGAAATAACGAATATTCAAGAATTAACAATAACGAATATTCAAGAAACCGAACAAGAAGAAGAAGATGAAACAACATGCGATCAAATTCAAACTGATATTGAGCTTGCACGTCGGGATCAAAAGACTGATTATGAGCAATTTCGTAAAGCTCATGCATCTCTACATGATGATATTCGTGCTTTACAACGAGAAATAGAAAAGTTCGAAGCAGTATGCATGTCATCTGGATGGAATTCAACAAAAGATCGAGATGTTCGACAATCCGAAACAGCATCTACAGTAACTGGCTCTCTAATGGCAGCAGCAGTAATTAATGGTCCTGGTCGTACATTAGCATCACAATCTGCTACCGCAGCCGCACGTGGCCAACGTCAACGTAATAAAACAAGACATAATCGTGCGGAGAGCTTTAGTGGAAGTAAACCAACTAGGTGTATAGGTGCTGACGATGGTTGGTCAGATAAAGTGCATCGAAATGAATTGATTCGGTGTTAATAATAACTATGTTAAATAATTATGCTATGATTTCTCTTTTTTTTCTAAGCTCTTACTTCTCTTCATTCTCTTACTTTATTCTCTTACTTCATTCTCTTTTTACTTTATTCTCTTTTAAATTTGATGGAAAGAACAAATTTATAAATAATTGTTAACAAATGATTGTCTACGCTGGACATTGAGATATATATAATATATGGTTTCTTTTATTAATTCATTTCTCTTTATTACAGTATCAGTATAATTCATTTCTTCTCTATAATTCATTTCTTTATAATTCATTTCTTTCCTCTTCTTCCCTTTCTTTCTGTACATATAAACCTTTTTTTTTTTTTCTCTTCCTTATCACCTTTCTTAGTACATAATGTATATAAATTCACTTAAACATAACAAGTATAGTATTCTAATAATTAAAAGAACTTTGCAAATAAAAATTTCCTCGTTCATGCTTAATTTGTATGTCATCGTCATATTAATTTATATCGATATGGCTAAAGTGATAATCTTAATATAGTAGATGATCCGAAAAATGTGTTTCAAATGCAAGGGTCCTTACCCCATATATCTGTTATATGTAAAGTGTACTCGATTCAATGAATTCAATGACACACAACTCTTAACTAAACGAAATCACACTCTGTAAATGGTGCCTGCAAAAAAAAAAAAAAATTCATGCACATCATTGTTAAACAACAACGAAAATTTTTTATTTCTCAAATTAGTATTTTTTTTTAAACTTCGGACAAATAAAATATCGATTTCTAATTTAATCTAACTTGCTTTATTTTAATTTGCCATTCTACATTAACTTTTCTAGATGGTCATTTATCTGTTACATTAACTTTTCTAGATGATTTATTAGTCAAAGACATTAGCAGGACATGTGATTTCACAATTTCGATATCGATATCGATATGTATCATGCTTCTTAAATTCGAATACATTCTTAAATTATTAATCGCTATGTATCGTTATGTATCGCATGTACTGTACATACTGATACATACTTATGTATCGTATGTATGTACAGTATATATAAAGTCAACAAGCAGTTAATCTTTTCTCCATGTTTTATGACAATAGTAAAGATTGACTGTATAATCATAACGGATGTTTTATCTCCAGGTGAAAGTAATCTTGGAGTAAATTAATCTGTCCTTTTTGTCTTTTTGTCTTTTTAAACGTTCTAATTAATTTATTAATATCATTATATTAATTGCTATTAATTACTACGTATATATTAAATTATTATTATAATTACTGTATACTGTATTAAATTATTATTAATTATTTACTATATATTAAATTATTATTAATTATTTACTATTAATTACTTAAACTAGTATCAATAACTTATTAACAGTTTTTTTAAGGTTCATTTACTGTATAGCGATATTAATACAGTAACATACATAAGCCGGGCATTGCATAATCGAGCATTTACTTTGTTCAGAAATAATATGTTTTCACTACGTTTCTGACAATACTTTTAATACTTTCTGACAATACTTAAAAAAATTTAATTTCTCAATGTTAAGAATATATGCTATGTATAAATATATTTAATACATATTTACTATATACATTTACTATATATATTTACTATATATATTTACTATATACATTTACTATATATATTTACTATATACATTTACTATATATATTTACTATATATATTTACTATATATATTTACTATGTATATTTACTACGTACGTACGTACGTACATACTCTCCGTAAACTAAATTATCTCGATTCGATAATTTGACCGATCTAAAAACCTAATTTCATCTGAAACTCCATATGCAGATAAATTAATGTTTGATATGTAGCCAGAGAAAACTTATTCCCCAGATTCTTGTATTTCTTTTAATCATATTGGCATTGTCATTATATCGATATTTTCATTACCGAATCATGAAAACACGTGAAAACCCCGCATGTAAATCTTTGGCGACTAGTGACAAATCGGTACAAGTTTAGAACAATATATACAAGAAGGATTATCGTTATTATTATCATTATACATATATATTTTTTTTTTAATCTTCTATATGGGCTGGTCTAAACTTTTCTTTTGATTAATTACGTAGAATGCATAACCATTTGTTTGTTCGATTACCGTTAAGTAAGTATCATAACGTATCGGTATATACACTTTTTTTTCAATCATATTTTTTTCTTAAACTAATAAAACCATTTTCTATATATATAAAAACCTGATATAAACCGGATAACTAAAAAAAAATTTTTTTATAGATTCGGATTAATTATTAATTAAAATGAGGTATAAAATAGGTTATCTATCAAGATATTCTACGTATTACAGATTAGATATCGTACGTACATACCGTACTAACTCTAGATAAAATCATCTATAATTTCTATGCCTCTCATGCCTGGAATTTCGATTCCTTCTTCTACAAGTTTAGCTATAAAAGGTGTAATTATGATATCCTTTCTGGGATCATTACCTGTTTTTTGATTTTTTCTTGCCAATTTTCATCATCTATAATGTTAATTATTGGTTTCGGTGGTGATGTCAATCCTTGTTGTTGCACGAAAATCTGGTGCTTCCTAAAGTGTTGAAAATTTTTGTTCTTCAAATATCATCTTTAAATGTTCGCTTTGATATTTGTTTGATTGTATCATCTGATGCTAATTTTGCCTCCTCTTTTGCTATTGTCATCTCTTCTTGTTTCTGTCCGTTTGGCTGCGCTTGTTTAAATGGATTAACTGGACTCTTGCTATTTTCTTGTCTTATTTGCCGTCGTCTGTATTTTTCATTTCCAATCTTTGCGTTCGTTTAAAGGACATGTGGATGGATTTTTCTCGTGATATCTATATCGATTGATAACTTCATTATTGTTCTGTTCAATTTTATTGCTTTTGTTGAAGAGCTTAATATGATTAGGGATTAGAACCGTTTAACCGTTTAACCGTTTAAAAATTGCTCCATAATTCCGGGCAGAATTATGTTGGTCGTGGGCCGGAATTATCTTAATGCCGGCCAAGTTAAACGGTTAAACGATTAAACGATTAAGAAAAATTTTAGGCGGTTCCAATCCCTAAATATGATACTTTTTTCATGATTTATAAAATAAATATTTTACTTCATAATCTGTATATTTTAATAAATAATGTTTTTGAGGTTCATATTAAATTTTAAAAAATTTTTTTAACCTTTTTAATAGAAACTTCTATTTTTTTTTAGCAAATAAAAATCATTGTTTTTTTTTTATTACCTTGGTGGTTTTTTTATATATTTTTGTATATTTCTTCATACTTTTCTCTATATAGTTTAAGGCTTTTTTATCAAGGTTTTAATAAATCTTTTAATATATTTTCAAAATTTTTTTGTTGTTTTTTATTTTTTTATCTTCAGACTCAATATTTATATTTTTATTAATTATTATATATTTTTTAGCAACTTTAAGATAGATATATATTTGATAAAGCTTTGTAAAATTATTATGCTTTAGTTGTTTTTAAAAATAAAAATTTACTTTCAATTTTATATAATATATAAGAGTTATATAAATTTATATTATAGAGTTTAAGTTCTGCAGCTTATTGATTAAACTTCTAAATCTCTACAAACAGATTAATAGTTCAAGTCAGGCTATTAACAAACTTTGAATTTGTTACTATAATTTTTATAAGGCTATAATCAAATACAAAGTCTTATAGAAAGTCCAAGTGCAAGTATAGTTTTGAAATAAGAATTTTCAAAAAAAGCTCTAATAATAAAATATAGACAATATAGTATATATAACAAGTAGTGTTATAGAAGGTTTAGATTGTAAAAAATCATACAAATAAGTTTTCTGATTAAAATTATTTAGAGACAATATTAATATTTTTTTATCTTTACTTTAAACAATATTAATATTTCTATATTTAATTTGTAAGATACTTGCTTAAAAGAATAATTAACAGATTATACAAATAAGTTTTAATTAAAAAAATAATGCTAGATAATTAATTAAAAAGTGATACAATATTATTAAGAAAATAACTATGATTAACTGGAGGTGAAATTATCGGTATGTGTAATATATAGATCAGTATCAAATTAAAAAAAAATTTACCTCTTTTAGGGCTGTGCAGTAAATCATATAATTTCTGCTTACTATAAGATCTACCTCCTCCTCCTTCTGTGATAAAAATTATTTAATCAAAATTTATTTTTCTTAGGACATGATAGATTTGATACCTCCTCCTCCTTTAAAAAATTACGTGATTTTCTGCATTTTCTTTAGTTTAGGGTAAGGGTTGTGGCCTATGATTAGAGTTAGGACAATACATAAATTATATGCAAAATTTAGTAAAGAATTTTTTTTGTTAGAACTCAAAAGGGGTTTTATAAGCGAATTTTTGAGATATTTATAATTTTTTAAAATATTTTTTGTTTTTGTTATATAAAATTAATTTATATGTTACATCTAATTCTGTAATTTTATTGGCTAATTACATACTAGTGATTTTTTCCTCTTCCGGTTAAAATTAGCAATATCCTCTTATTAAAACTAGAATAGTAAGAGAAGTAATAAATATATAAAAAGGCTATAATAAGTATTACTGTATTTTCATGTAATAATATCTACCTGTGCATTATTTTGAGTATATGTATATTAGACCATTTGAAGTTGATTCTTCGGTTAATATAACCCCCTCCTAGACATCCTTCTAAAAACAAACAAACCAATCACAGTATTGTAATATTGTTGTCTAATTTGTAATATTGTTGTCCAATCATATTCATCTAATAATCGTCTTGTGATTGGCCTGTTTAATTTTTTTGTTTAATTTGTTACCATCACCTGTTCGAGCTCAAAAGTTGATGTTAATCAAAAAATCAACTTCAAATAGCCTTAATTAAAGTATATGCATGAGCGTTATTTTAAAACAAGTTTCGATTTTTTGATAAACCTGGTTTTCCAAA